TTATGGGGGCTGCATGCTTTCTGCCAAGTAGACAACATTTTCAAAGAAAACAGTGAGGATGTTTCCTCAAGGGTATTAAAGGAATTCTAAAATCATAAATAATAAGATTAATACATTTTTAAGGATTTGATTTCACTTCCACGACTTCTATTGGAGAATATGAAGCTCGTGGTCTGTATAAAGCTCTTTAAAAGTTTGAACTTAGTATTCTCATTTTGACAAGGGCTTCTTGTGAGATAGCTATACAATACTGAAAAAAAAATAAACATTTCTTAAAACATTTGTAATCGAATAGATCGGTTCAAATGGTTGATGTTTTTACGATTGAAAAAAAAATCCATGAATAGCATAGGCCTCTATTTGCTGCCATGAAATGTCTACATCAACAGTGTTTTAGAAACAATGACTAGTTCCACGTATCATCAAAACTAGCTAGAGATATTACAAGGATTTCCATCATCCCTTTAACGACAACCAAGCTACCACTGAGCAGTGACCAGAATGTGTATGCAACAGGTTACCGCTGCACAGCATCACGCTGCGCACACCAACTCCATACTTAGCGTGCAATTTGCGGTCTCTGATCAAGTTCGGATGTCAACATACGCATCCCGAGTCGAATCAAGAAGCGCCCCCGCTGTGCCAATATTGGACAGGCGACCTCTCGCTCCGGGGGCGCATCGAAGGGACATGCCACACATTTGGCCCCCAGATGACACATGCTGGGCCCAATGTTTGGGAGTGGTGACTAGATCCACAAATTGGGCTGGGATATCATATGATTCCACAATATGCAGCCCAATCTTGGTTGCAAAAAAAAAGCTCGCTCTCGCGTCTCTCGAGGTAAATGATAGGGTTCACCACAAGGTTCAAGAAGTTACATGGACGGAGTTTGTGAATCAAAAGCAGACTCAATCACAATTCAATAAAAAGTGAAACAGCTAACAGATAATGTGATTTGCCTAATGGGACTCAAAAGTTGGCAGAAAGCTAAGCCAATGTTTACAGACAGAATTACTATTGATTCTAAAATTAGATGCAGTATTCCGCAGGGGTATACATGTACATGTACATGCAGATTCAGGACACTCCAAATTTTCTTCAACTTTTGCAGAAAAAGCAGTTTATTAGTAGTACTTATTAGTACTACAAGAAAACATGATAAAGAGGCATTTAGGTTCATTTGTGGCAAAAGGGACATTTGATTTTTGAAGGGCAACATCTTGACTATTTCAAACATAAAATATCAAGAGGTATGTAACAGTCAATTTGGCTCTACAAGAAATTTCACATTATTAGTAAGCATGAAATGAAAACCAGAAAAATTGGTATGTGAAATCAAATATTTAAAGACTGGTGTGCAGTTATGAGTACAACTCCTTTCAGTCAACGAAAATCAATAGCACCAGCAATTTACCGCTAGCCACACTGTGAAAGTGGGCAACTTCTTTTTCTTCAACGGAAATGAAAAGTCAACGACCGAACAATCGCACAAGTTGAGCCCTAAATCCTAAATCCAAACACGAAACATGATATCGGTGAAATGCCAATTGTTGTGACGATGAAAATCTTTTAACAGGCGCGTCATTCTGACACCTGGGCCAACGTCCCTTGAGTCTGTTCCATCGTCAATCGTTCAAAGCTTTCTAGAAAAGGTTCTGACGGTATTTGCGTAAAGATTTACAGGTGCTGGCAACCCAGCACATCCCAATGGCCGACTCCATCTCCCAAAAGGTTAAGCTCTCTGTGAGAGTTTATCCAATGGTTTTAATTCATCCAGGTAGCACCTGTCTTGTTGAAAGACTTCACCAAGTCCATGGAGGTCCTAAAATATTTATGGAAACATTTTTTGTCCCTCATGGATGAAATTGAGATTGGGCTTCCTGTGCAGTTTGGTCTTGGAACAGAACCCGATATCAAAATGTAGTTCCTACTAGGTTTACAGTGTGACAAAATGATGAAAGTTCATGCATGCACACCCATTTCACATTGCAAAGCAGCCTGCAGAAGCTACAGGTAACCCTTACCGAAAACGCAGGCTTATTTAGCCTGCTTTGAACCTGCGTCCATTTCACATTACAAAGCAGCCTGCAGAAGCTACAGGTAAATGCAGGTTAATCAAGTCTGTTTGACCTCCTGAATGTTTGGTTGGTGGACTACATTTAACAGTATATTTGTCATAGTTCGCAGTACAAAAACATTGTCAGTTACTATTCATAGCAGTATCTGCACTAGGAGATTATGATGAAGGCATACTGTAGGCTCTGTACTTGAGCTGCTCTGGACAAAGCCAAAGATTGACAAGTGACAGAGCTAAGATTTGCTCAAAGGTTTAGGAATTGTAGCAAAGTGTCCAATTAGAGTCTTTGCCTGCGCACTAAGGTTATCAGTCATATGTAGATTTTGTTTGTGACACTTCAACAAAATTAAAGATGACTCAAATCAGCTAGACTTGAACAGCATGATTACATGTCTTACATGTGAAACGATCGAGGTTGAACAAAATTCAGACAAACATGAAGTATGTGTTTACAATTCATATGTATTTAATTAAGTACTTATGATTGTCAATTATATGTTGTTCCCAAGAAATTACTGTGAAGCAAGATTGTAAATGTAAATTTGAACAATTATCCTCTATGGACATAATAAAGAAATGAAATGAAATGTACATAATATACTGTAGTGTAGTCTACCACTCTATACTGGCCTGTCTACATTGTTCAGACCCCATATCATAAGAGGAGCAGGGAAAAGATTAATAATTATTTTTCGGGGGCTCCTTTTCAAGCTTGCCTGCATGAAAATAACATTCTAAAATTTGTTTTGCATTGAACTCTATGCAAATTTACAGGGGCTCTCTTCTGATTTTCGTAGATTCTTTTGGCCATTTCGGGGGCTATTTCGCCCGAGCCCCCGTCTATTTTTTTCGCTGAAGAGGAGTGCTGGAAGGAATCTAACACTTTAAATTCCCTTCTGGATCTCGTCAAAAACACATCTGACTGACTAGGGTGTGTGTGCTGTAAACTAGTCAAACCCAACACATGGTCTACATTATTCAACAGTACAGGGTACATGCACATCAATTCCGATTGTACAAACTGACAGCAGGATACAATACAATGACAAATACATACAAATGATGTAGAGTGTATGTAGTGTATGGGGAGACAGGTGTATGGAAGAAAAGAGATTATTTGAGATTAGGAAGCTCACAATCAAACCTGACTCATTAATTATTGCAATGCCTGGATAATCACTTGACCAATTGCAATGGACAGTTGGATACAAGAGACAATCAAAGTATTAGGTTTAACCAGGGACATATAGGTAGGGTGCTTTAGAGTTCTCCTGTTTTCAAGAAACTACCATAAAGTTTACATACTTCACCAGGGTTGTGACCAAATTTGTTTTTATAATTAATCATCAATTTTAATTTAAACCAGGGCTTATCACCAACATGGGTTATTCAAGTAAAGTGCACATTGAACCTGAATTCAAACTATGTATCCCAAACTTTCAAAATTCAACAGGAAGCCAATTAATGCATGCAAACTTTGGAAATGTCTATCCAGAACCCTTGTAAAATTCTGGAATATAAAATAATTAAATTTGATTCAAATTGTTGTTGTGACAACTGCAGAATTCTGAATGTATACTGACTGCAGTATTCTGTAGTCACATAAAACAATAAGCAAGCATGATACTTCAACTTTGCATAACGACATGTAAATATGCTTCATAAGGACTTGTGCACATCAGCTGTGATACGAGGAGCATGGCATTTCCGTGGGCCTCTTTCTTCAGATTTCAGAAATTAGGTCTGGGTATTCCCATAGCTGTGACAGAGACACGGTTGGGACCGCATGCTTTGGAAAGCCAGCTGATATTTAATCAGAACATGAGTAAAAAACAATGAGCAGGCCGGGCTACCTCATCATGACAGCATGACTCTGACTTTCCAACAGTTTGGGGAGAAAGGATCATCAAAGTTTGTCAGCAACACCGGCAAAACAGTATGCCCTAGACATAGGCAGGTGTATTCACATTGCCAAAGTTGCCAAAGTTGTAAAAGGTTGTTTGCATCTAACCAAATATACAGGTTGTATCATAGACATGACTTGCCAATTGTTCAGGGAGCAATAATCTGTGAAGGTAGGAGACAAGACAATATGTTCCTAGACATAGACAGGTGCATTCCTACTGCTGAAGTAAAAGGACGTTTGCACAGATGATTCCTACGGTGTACTGTATGACACTTGAGGGATATACAATGTATAAGGAGGCTGCATGTACTTGCGAAAAGTTTGAAAATCAGGAATCCCACAGTGTAGGAGATTGGAGACAATGCTACTGTGCATGCCCTGGACAGCGACAGGTGCATTTTAATCCTAATGCTGAAGTAAAAGGACGTTTGCACAGAGGATTCCTATGGTGACTCACGCCAAATTTCATGTATTTGCCTAACGTTTGAAAATCAGGAATCCTGGCAGATTAGAAACGATGCTAATGTGCCCCAGCGCTCGCTAGACATACCGGTCGTCAAGTGCATGTTCACACCCGAAGAGCCACTCGTACAACTGCAATGCATTCCCATTGTGACTGTGAGTGTGCATGAGTCAAACCAAACTGTCAAGGAGTCTACATTAATTACACCTGGTGCAAAGCTGGGCATGTGTTATCAGAGTATGTGCAGTTGTACATGTTGGTAGGGTAGGCAGGTTGCGCACCAATAGCATTGTGAAGGATCCACAATATTTCTAACTTTGTGACTCATGCAGTTTGGAAAACTCTGGATTTCCCCTAAATACCTATGTGCTTATTGATTAGAAGACTCAAGTCCATGTTTCTCTGACTTTACAAAATATGTTGTGTATGCCTAAACTCTTGAGCTATTTTTATTCTATATACCACAATACTTCAATAGAAACTTCTTAATTTACCCCTTCACTATACACCCCCCCCCCCCGCCTCCCCCACCCCACCTCTTTTTTTCTCTCTCTCTCTTTCCATACTTCCCAATTCTCCCTGTCTGTCCATCACATATTTGTTTTGATATGATAATGAAATGCTTACTTCTCACGTTTACATCTTCATCTCTCTCTCCTTATGAATATTCAAAAACTTACCGCGTAATGGAATCCATCATGAAGACAAGCTCCTGTAGAGAAGAAAAAGAAAGAAAAATACAACAAATTAGCATAAATCACTGTTGATGTTAGGACTGTACATTGAAGTATTTCCTTTCAGATAACGAAGGGCAAGGCTACCTGGTTTGGAAAACCAATCTGCTTATGAGGACAATTTTTTTCTATTTATGTGGAGGAGTCTTTCTGTAAAAGGGTCTTTCTTTAAAAGTTTCTGTTGTGAAGTCTGCGACAAAAAACAATTATAGTCACTGTTGAGTGTTGATTTAAATTGGGAATCACACAGGCACCACATAAGAATACCCCAAAATCACAAGAAGTCATTGTAACGAACTGGGTCATTCGTTTAAAGCCAGAAGGGCATGTAACTATGTGTTTAAGTATGGGAAATAACGTCCTTTTGGCCCTCAACAGATGACACATGTACTTGTACTTTCAATATGTTCTCTCTCTCTCTCTCTCTCTCTGAGAGATCACTTTCGATAATAGGTGAAGCCAGATGTCAGAGGAGCAAAGCTTGACATCAGATCTCATTATTGGCTATAACTCTCCTCCTACAGATACGTTACGTATGAAAACCGAAAAGCAGAACCAAGTCTCTGAAAATCTGCAAAACTAGGTCACAGATGTCCAAGGATGTACACATGTATGAATGGCGGCCAGGTGACTTGCATGAAAGAGAAGGTAATGTTAAAGCAAGGACATGCTATAGTAGGTCCACGGTTAAAGGGAAAAGTCGACCCTGATAAAAAGTTAATTTAAATAAAGCAGAAAAGTAAGAGAAACTGGTCAGTGAAAATTTGAGAAGGACCTGGTAAAGATTAATCTTATTGATTTTTAAGCCTTGAAGATCATTACCAACTTGGCAACCATAATAAATTTGATAAATTGTGCATGGTTCTCATTTTATCTGTTGATAAACAGAAGGACATTATTAACTTCATGTATGTGTAAAGTGTATGAGATAGCGTCCTTCTGGCTCAAAAAAAAGACAATTTCATCTGTTGGTAGACAGATGGACAATTGGACATTAACTGTGTGTTAATGCGATGAGTTAATGCCTTTCTGGCTCTGAATGATTTTCATATTGGACATTGTTTAAAATATCTTTCTTCTTGATAATGTTGATTAATCAGAAGGGTGTGTCATGAATACGAAATATTTCCAATTACTGTTTTCAGCAGAGGTACAGTAGGTTCAAGAAATCATTGGGATGTACAGGTAGATTTAGTTCCCCTTTGAAATACAGAAGCAGGTGCACAAAATTGTGCTAACTTACCCAGCAATAATTGTGAGGCCTACTTTTAAAAAATGTGTGATGAGTGTAGCAGTTTAATATTGACTTTTAACAGGAGAAGGAATGTAAAGTCTCACTACAAATGATGAAGCTCTTCACAGGAAGAAGGTTTCGGACAACGACACCTCAAGTGTAAAAACTCCACATAAAAGGTATAATCTCCGAGCAGTATGTACATTGTACAGGCCTCTGCAGGTTTTTTAACAGAAAAGGTGTAAGTGGGGAACTTAAAAGGTGTAAGTTGGAGACTTAAAAGGTGTAAGTGTGAAACTTAAAAGGTGTAAGATTTTTATAAAAAGTCAAAAAGTTAATATGGCTGCAACAAAAATGGTGTAAAATTGCACTAGAAAGGTAGCAAGTGCTTAGAAGAAAAAAGGCAAAAAAAGTGACACACCAAACCAAAAATGGTGTTAAGATTTTACTATAGAGACCTCAAGCTCTTTTCCTCATAATAAAAATAGCTGTATGATCTTTCCACAAACGTAGTTGTATCAATACTTGCATTAAGTATTAATATTAATGGATGAATTTACATTTACAAAGAGCAAATATGCAACAGTTTCATTGAGTTAGCAAATAGCCAGCTTCTTTTTGGTGGGAACAGTTACAATAAATGTCATATTAATAATCGAAGCATGCATCAACCATTCTATTGATTACTTGACAATGTTAAATGAGCCGTGATTTGCCATTCTAAGCACCTGGGCCCGGTTTCATCACACTTATCATCAATAACAAATGCTAAATTCCAATGACAAATTTGCTCTCGGCCAATCAAATGCCATAATTTCAGTACCTTATAACAGACATTGTAACTTGTTATTGATAACAAGTTTTATGAAACAGGGCCCAGGTGTTTCTCTAGAGACACCTTTAGGTCATCTTCAGAGATGACACCTAGCCTGCTGAGAGCCAGAAGGGCATTATAATTCTGTGTAAAAAGTATTGAGTTGACGCCTTTCTGTGGCTCTCAAAAGATGACTTTATCTTCATTCAATCATATAGACAGCAGCACTTACAGTACACTTTTTTGTGAGAGTACCATATCCATCTAAACGACTATAAAGCTAATAGTCTGCTGCAGGGAAAAAAAAACACTAAACATTTTTGGGGGCTACTTTTCAAGCTAGCTTGCATGAAAATAACACTCTTTAATTTGTTTTCCATTGAACACTGTGCAAATTTGTTTGAGCTCTTTTGGGCATTTCGGGGGCTAATTCGCCCGAGCCCCCATGTATTTTTTTCACTGGTCTGCTGAGAAACAGAAGGGCGGTTACTCTGTGTAAATGCATTATGCATATACATGTATATTGTAACTTAATGCCCTTCTGGCTTTTAACAGATTAATTCATCATTCGTTCATTGTCATTTTCACAGAGGAAAATAGAAGGCAGCACTCATAGAATACCTTTTGTGATACAATGGTGAGAGTATCCCGCAAGAGTGGTTAAAGTTTGTTTGCACTGGACCAATGCTTATTCATAAAATCGACCTTTTGGGCAAACAACATTCTGATTTTACAGTACATTTCAAGCAAGAAAATATATCAGGAGTTATAATGATATTTCTATGTAGTCTTATTTTACTCAATAATGAGGAAAATATATAAGTGATTTATTTACATGATGTAGGCCTACATACATATACAAGTACAAATAAGCAGATAATTGTCATTACATTCCTAACGGTGCTTACGGTACTATTTAGCAAGCCACTGGATTTAACCCAACAGTGAATATAGGATAAATTGAAAGCGTGAAGTGTCCATTAAAATGACCTATTCATCCTAGGTGGCCAAACTGGAGCCCTAGCTAGCTATCCGCACCATGCTCCAGCACAGAACAATTAACAAAACAAGCAAGACAAAAAAACAAAAAAAATCGGCATTAGCATACCCCCTTCCTGCCCTTTTCTTCCCATGCATTCTCAACCTTACTCAATCCAGCTCGTGAAGGTCCATACTCATTCAAGCTTTACTTTTGTCCATTCAATAGAACACTCCTAACTGTTTGACCAAATCCTCCCCCTCCCCCCCTCCCAAACCCATTTGATGGATAGCATTCTTTAAATCTCAGCCAATCTAATTCATAAATGTTTGGGCTCGTTATTCTTCTTGAATACTAAAAATTGTTTCTAAAGAGGAAAGCGTCAGGTAGTTGATGGATCGAGATTTATTTTACTTGAATTGCAATTTCAAAAAATCAAGGATATTTTTTATATACTTGGGACTACAGTTTGCATGGTACAAACTACACCGTATGTTAATCCAAAGACTGGAAGTTGTACCTTTCACTGTTGAAAGTGGCATATCACCTTCTTATCGTCTGTTTGGAGCCAGAATTAGAGGCAATAAGAAATAATTTATCACAGAGTCAAGATATTTAGATATGGAGCATTATTAGACTCTAAATCTGGAAATATGTAAATCTGTATCCCGTTCCAAAGAAGTTATCTGCTTTAGGCGTACATGTACACTGTACAGTGTATGTGGCACAGGCAGGATCCTGTAACATGCCAGAAGAAAGCGAGAAGGAGAAAGGATTTGTAATCCATCCATTACAACAGCCGAAAGATATCCTGAATGATCACCGAAGACGGGATTCCCAGTAGCTTAGTGTCTGTCAGGAACACATTGTGTGGCTGCTTTGACCAAACTTCCGCAGGGATTTAGCCACAGACTGGCCATTTAAAGAGTCAGAAGTGGGCTCGATCTCTTGTTACAAACACGTACACGTAGCGTAGCTGAGGCTCAAAAGCCAGCTCTCTTTACTACGGCCTGTACAACAGCGTTCAGAAGTTTTCATTTACTCATTCCTTCATTCATTGAATACCTGCACATGTACATGTAGTACTGTGGGCTGTAAATCCAGTCCAGTCTGTCCCCATGGAGTTGTGATACAAAATTGTAGCTGATAAATATATCATTTTATGGTAGTGGACACTGGATACTGTACATACATTTGTAGGTTTAATTTCATTTAGTTTAATTTCATTTAGTTTAGTTTAAAATAAATACTGTTCTAGATACAAAGAGGAAAGACTGTAGTATATGACTATAATTTATAAGATAGTTGGTGTCTCTGGACTTTTATTGTTTACAGTACACCTACAGGTGTGCATGTAAACATTTCAATTGTAAAGGTGTGTCAATACTCAATAGAACTGTTTAATGTCATGTACCAACACATCGTTAGGTATTCACTTGTTCTTGAGACTATCCACTGGTTGAATAAAGACATACTATACATGTAGGCTTACAATATCCGCTCTAAATCTGTATGTACAGGTGAATGTCGATTATCTAGTTGTACACAGTTTTCAAGTCGTTGATCAATGTTTTTTATCATGGATATGGTAGTTGATTTGCAGACCATGTCCTATCGTGGCAGTTACCTGTATTGTAAGCCTTAGCCTAACAATCAATGGGAACAGGCTGATAGTTGGGCCATTTAAAGAGAGCACACAGCCATGGGGTTGTTTGTCCAGGACTTTCAAATAAAGAGTCACACTTAAGACTCCTAAGAAAGGGGGTGTTTTCAGATCTATACTAAGGGCCCCCTGGGGTACCAAACAGAAGACAGAAACTAAACTCGTCCTTTAAACGGTACCTGTCGCCCCGATTTGCGCTTCTTCCGACGGAACTTCTTCATTCAATGCCCTCTGAAAACCAATCAGAAATCTTGGAGATTATCCATAAGAGACCTCACTAATGATTTA